GCCAAGCATCCACGTCGCCGGGCTGGACCCTGGCCTTGGATCCCCGCTCGGACGCCTGCAGGACGGGCGCAGCGGATCCCACCCCGCCCCGACCTGACCCGACCTCCCCCGCCTGCGCGCTGGATCTCGTCCCCGGGGCCCTCGCCTACCCGCAGGCCCTGAGGTGCCCTGGCCTCGGTGACAGTCAGAGCAGGTGTCCCGACCCCGACCTTTAGGGAGACTGAGGCCGGATTCCCTCCTGCACCGCAGGGCGGGCCCCGGGGGGGGGCGTCCTATCCCCCAGGAACCATGATTCCGCGGAGGAAGGGGTGCGAGGAGGGGGAGGAGGAGGAAGGGGAGGAGGAGAAGGGCAGGCAGGCACGCTGGGCCTCCCACCCCATCCCCTCCAATCAGAGCCCCCACCTCACCCCTTCCCGCGGCCAAGCCTCCGCTTCCAGCTCTGCGGACCCCGCCGGCCTTCCCACCGGGGTGAGGTGACAGCCCAGGTGACAGCCCAGGGCCTGGGCTGGGGGTAGAGAGCCTGGAGGGTCTGGGGGTGCTGGGCGGGGCTCCCCTGATTCCCCGCGGCTCATCACCCAGCCACCCCTGGATGGCCACTTGGTGGCAGCAGAGGCCCAGGCACCCTCTGCCACTCCCGACCTGGCAGAGCCGGCCTGTGGGCCTGAGGCGGCCCTGGGATGAGGACACAACACAGGGAGGGTGTGCAAGGGCGGGAGGCGGGCGGCTGCTCCATGTGGACACAGCAGCTGTCTGTCTCCCCAGCCCAGCAGTGGGGCTCTGCTCTGCACCCACTTCTGCAGGGGCTCCCAGGGCGCTGCCCCGGCCTCCTCACCCAGCCCCTCTCCATGGCGCCCTCCCCCCTCCAAGCCCCACGTCTGGGCTCCCCAGCCCGTCCCCGTCCGAGTGCCGGCCACTCGAGTGCATGCACGACCTTCCTCCTCTGACACAGGTCGCCTCCACGCAGCTCTGAGCACCTGGCTGCGCCGGGGACGGGCCTGGAGACCCCGGACACAGGCCCCCCCTCGCCCAGAGCCTCCGGCGGCTGGAGGACAGACCCTCAGCCAGTGAGTTGGCTGTCGCTGGAGCTCTGGCTCAGGCCCCTGGACAGTGAGGGGCCCCCCTTTCCGGCCACGGCAGGTGCCAGCCGACCGAGGACCCCGACAGCTGTGCCCAGGTTCCCTGCCCAGGTCCCGAACGCCCTGGCTTCAGAGCCTGTCCTGGGAGTGTCACCACGGGGACGTCCAGGGGGGCGGCGCCAGGCCTCGCTGAGGCAGAGGACGGCCCTGCCAGCCTCACCGTGGCGGCCGGTGTGTGTGCCCAGCTCCCGGGCTGGGGGGCTGTGGGGAGGCCTGGTGCGGAGCCGCTGCTCCTGATCTGGTCCCGGAAGGAAGCGCCAGGGTCCTCCGCGTGCCGGCCACTCTGGCCCCTTCCCCGACGGACCTCACAGGCCTGTCCGCTGAGGGACAGGGCCGGACGGGAGCAGGGAGGGGCCTCAGCTGGACCAGGGCGCGGGGCTGGGCGGAGGCCCCAGGGGCTGTCAGGGGCCTGGACGCGCCTCGCTCTC